ATAAAGTCACATAAAGTTGATTTCATTTTGCCCGGTCGGTTGGTTGGATTATTTTTTTTGATCTACAGTAAATTAATAGACTTATGTTCATGTCTAAGATTGCAAAAGTTAATTTTTCGCTTTGTATAATATGGAATCAGAAAGTGGGTTGAAAGTCGAATTTTTCTCAGTTTTATCAAATAATTTCGGGAAACAAGATCTCTATCAGGTATACCGGAGTAATTTATGAAAAAAAATTAAATGGCAAAAATAGAATAATTGGCACAATTGGGGCTTAAAAAAAATTGAAAATAGGCTGGCAAGTAACGCAGAACAAAAAAACAACTTTGCGTAGCCTAATAAATACCATCATAAATGTAAGAGTCCCATATGTTGCACGGCTTAATGGCTGGAAATTCATTCAATTATCGTGTATGAGAAGCATGGATATTTTAACTTTAGATTCCTTCCGTCTATTCGTTTTAACCACATGAAAAATTTGCAAGGAAAGTCTTCAAACTCATAATTGAGTATCTTTATATCTGTCAACTGCCCGTAATTATTTTGCGATACATTTATCCGTATTTATACTCTCGAGAGTTTAAAGGGGCTCTAATAAGTGGTAGTTTATTATGATATTGAAGTATTAAAGAAAGAGTTGAATCAAAACACAATCGCTCCCTTATCATTATATATCCATCATTCGAAATCAGTCATACCTGCCAGATATTTAGGAGATGAAGAATATAATAAACATGACAAACCGTTTAAAGACCAGAAACCTAATACTGTAACTTCTACTCTACTCTTTCGACAAAAACTTATCTGGAATTAACAAGTAATTTTGTGATAAAATCGAATCATTTGATCATGAGATTGATTTTAGTGCGTGACAAATTCGCAATAATCACAAATTTGGGCAAAATAACTAAATTAATCGGCCAATGATCACCTGACATTTGCTAACTGGGCAATCTTCACTACGAGTATGGAGAGCCTGGCACCAGCCGGATTCGAACCTGTACCTAGTGCTATGTACGGACCCGCGTTCTAACCGTTAAGCTATATCAGAATGATCATAAAATTTTTTAAATGTACTCCTTATAATCATAAAATTCTACTTGAATAGTCGCATCTGATTGGATGAAATTATTCAATTGTAATTAATTTTTTTAAAGATATTTTAGTAACCAACTAAAATCGATAATTTTAATTATACAGGGATATAGAATCAGAATAAAAAAAAATTTCATAATTTTAGATAGATGGTTATCGAGATATCTTCGCTCAAAGTTCGGAAAAAAATTTGCCACAACTTGTTTTGATAGTTATTCAAGTTTTTTCTAAACTTTGAGCGAAAATATCTCGACAAATACCTATCTAAAATCAATGAAAATTTTTTTATATTAATTATACTGGCATATAGAATCGGAATAAAAAAATTTTCATTGATTTTAGATGAGTAGTTGTCAAGATATCTTTGCTCTAAGTTTGAATAAAACTTTGCCGCAGCTTTTGATAGTTATCCAAGCTCTTTCTAATCTTTGAGCGAAGATATCTCGACGACTACCTATCTAAAATTGATGAAAATTTTTTTATTTTAATTGTTTATTCATATAGAATCAAAATAAAAAAATTTTATCAATTTTAGATAGGTGGTTGTCAAGAGCTTACATAGCGTCGCCCCCAAAAAATGGTAGTCGGATTTTTTGTTGGCTTACATCGATTTCGAAAACTGATTGCCGGTAAAGTTGTGTTTAAAATAATATTCGTTTGATTTTCGCTTTGACTTTCGTCTTGACTTTGACTTTCATTTTGACTTTCACTTTGATTTTAATTTTGACTTTAACTTTGATTTTAACTTTGACTTTCACTTTGACTTTCGTGTTGACTTTCGTTTTGACTTTCCGTTTTAACTTTCGATATGACTTTCGTTTTGACTTTCGATATGACTTTCGTTTTGACTTTCACTTTGACTTTTGTTTTACTTTTGCTTTGACTTTCACTTTGACTTTCGTTTTACTTTCGCTTTGATTTCGAGAATATTTACTGTATTGAATTCACAAAATAAAGTGCGTCATATTTTAAGCAAAACAACTCGTTTAAACAATAAAATATAATAACTCGAACCAAACATGATAATTAGTTACATCGCTAAAATTGTATTATTCGTTTTAATTTGAATGGTGAGTGTAAAAGAACTTTTTAATTAATTAAAATAAATGATTCAAGTTTGTGAACATTTACTTATTTGATTTGCATTAATCTAGTAATCTAGCTAATTAAGTGAGTATATACTTGTTCGCATTAATTTATTGTGAGTATGAAGTTCTTTATAAATAACTATCATTACATAGTGATGCTTATATCATTTTGTTTAGTTCCTGTTGTTAAGTAGAAAGATTAAGACTAAGGCGTTTTTTGTACAATGTCGAAAATTATTATCAAAGAACTTAAAACACGATCATTTTGGTCGGAATTAGTGAAATAAAAATTCAGAAATTCAGAAATTCAGAACATTTAAGCTAAATTTTGTCGGTTCTCAGAATTGATTCTGGACAATATACGTACCGTATTGTTGCGAAATAACGGGCAAGGGCGTTATTTAGAATAGTGGCCCGAATTAAGCTTAATTTAGACCGAAATTCGTAATTTCACCCCTGTGCGTTATTTTGCGATAATACGGTATATGATTTTGTTTTATTTGAGTATAAAGATCTTGATCGATCACTTAAAAAGCTCTTTAAGTTCGCGATTCTGCCTTTTATTTATTTTTGCTAATTTAATGAGTAAATACAAACTTTTAGTATTTAAATAAATTATAGTTACATAATGCTATTCATCTTTTTTAATTCGCATAACTTAATTATGTATAAAGATTTTTATTAAAATTCGTGAATTCATAGATTTGTTATCTATGTTAATTTAACTTGTAATTGGTGAATCAAAAGTAGGCTACTTTATAGTGTGTAAAGATTCTATGAATTTAAGATCAACTGTTTAAATCGCCTTGTTTTAATTATTATTTTTATTTATTTATTCGATATAACTAAAAGTTATTTTCATTGAATAAAAAAAATCATAATTTATCCGGTAATCAGTATCCGAAATCACATGTAAGCTAGAAAAATAAGCTGGCTACCATTTTTTCCGGGAGACCCAGAGAGACCATGCACTAATTAAACAATAAAGTACTTTAGGGTTGGAGTTGTGACTGAGATTATGGCTTATCTTATACTAAAATTTTTACGGAAAATTTTTTTTGTTAGTGCGCAGTAGGTGGTTTCATAGAGAGTCGATTGTTAGAAAAGATCTGATTGGTGCATCTGCGACGATCTTTCATGGTCCTACTGGGGTAGCTTTGGGGGTATAGCGATATTTCGCATATTCAAAAAAAAATATAAAATCCATAAATTAATTACCGGTATATATCTTAAAGGCAAAAAGACAATAGAGACCCGTCTCTATGGCAACCATACATATAGCAGCCAATCATATTTAGGGTTCGAAAATTTTCTTTTGTATTTTTTTATTATAAAAGTTATAAAATTTGTAAAAAATTTTTATTGGGCGATAATAAGCAATATATTATATAGTCACATGCTCAATTTTGATTGGCTATTCATATAGGGTCGCCATGGCGACCCGTCGCCATAAACTAACGCCCTACCTTAAATATAAAATTTTATAAATCAATATAAAAATTTAAAAGTTTTTATATGTAGCAAAAAAAGTTCCCAGAAATAGGTAGGCTTTATCTTATATAAAAATAAAATAAAAAATAAAAAAGAATAAATAAAAAAAGCAAAAGATCTAGAAATAAAATTAATACTAAAAAGGCTCACATAATCTAGCATAAATTTACTCATATTTTGTATAGATTTTATATTACAAAAAATCCGAAATTTTATATATCTTTATCGTAAATATTTTCTATGAAAGTCACGCATGTATTATTTTGCTGGTGTATATAGTATTAAAAGCTCGAGAACCTTATGAAAATAGTTAAAAAAAAAAAAAATAGCCATAACCGAAAGTGTAGCATTTAATAAAGAAATTTTAGTTATGTTCTTTACACTGTTTTGTTCGTAGAAACCTCAGTAATACGTAATTTGGCTTAAAAGAACATTTTAATCTAAGACTTATACGTATGAAAATCATCCGACAAAAAAAAAAAAAAAAATTAAATTATGTAATCTGTTGAAACTAAAGTTGAAATGAAAATTACATTGTTAATTTCTGAAGTTTTACAATTCTGTCAAGAGATGTGAATTACGGAATCTAAAGTCTAATAAAATTATAAAAAGATAATAAATTTAAGTAATCGACGAAATACTTCAAAGTTTAGAAAAATAGAAATATTAATGACTTAATCATTGGTTAAGGTTAAACAAGTTACAAATACATATAATATTCTATTATATATAGTGAATAATTACATAGTTACATAGTAATGCAGTACAACTTAGGACGAAATTGTTTCAAGCGCCGATCTAAAAGCATGGTCACATGGATCTTCTAATGGTAAGTAATAATAAAGAAATACGCGTTTTCATTCAGTCGGCTACGTATTAATATGGAGAAAAAAACAAGATGGGATTCTAAAGTTTGTGTAATTTTCTCAAGGTTAGGGTAACGAGAGATGATTAAAAAATATGCGATTAATAATAATATAATAAAATAATAAAATAATAAAATTTATACGTAAGACGATTAATAATCACACACACATCTTGCACGCATACAAAACGCGAAGCAAATTTCATAACAGCCAAAGATGTAAATATTCTCATGAGGTTATGTAGGCATATTTGATACCTTTAATTATACAAATGAGAATACGCGCATTTATTGGTGTTGACAGAGCCAAGTATGATGTAATCTGATTTAAAGAGACAAATAATAATTTAGCCAAATTACAACAATAAGTAAAAAGCAAAAACGATGCCGGATCAAGTCAACAAGGGAAAAAGGTATTTTTGAAGCATACTTTAACATAATTGCAAGACACGTAACTAAAAATGGAATACGCTAATGTAAACAGTCATCTGGAGCGGAACATTAATCCGTTTCACCTGACTAACGGCATTGGAAGTTACGGAGAGAGACAATATGAAAAAAAAGAATGCCAAACACCTTTCAATGCATCTAAATAAAGGTATTACTCATTTGTAAGAATGAGTTATCCAGAAACAGAAACTTGTATGCTTTTACACTTGCAGCATGTAATATCCTAAGCATGTATAGATAGTAAGAAAACAAGACGATAAAGATGGTAGTCAAAAGAAGGAAGGTGCAGCCGCGTGTTATGTTTCGTCACACTTATTGAGAGAATAAATGAAGTAGAATGAGTTCGCACGACGGGAGTGATGACAGGAAGGTCTTTAATAAATTATAAGATTCTTGATTTGGGTTGAAAGGGACGTGTCGTTAAATATTAAACTTTACAAAGTTGAGACTAATTTTTAATGGATAAATATTGTTTTATTCTCATATTGTTCTCTTAAAAGTTACACGCATTTTGTTAATATCACATATATTTGAAGAAAGAATACGTGATAATTATTAAATCTAGTTTGAAACAGGATCAATTGTTCAACGGAAATCAATTCAACTAAATTAAACTAAATTAAATTGAAATCAACTCAATTGAAATCAATTCAATTGAAACAAATCAACAGAATTAAAATCAATTAAAATCAATTAAAATCAAAAAGAATATTCCAAGCAGTTCTTAAATTAACTGAATGAAACTCTTTACGTCAAATAAGTTTCTAAAGAATTACTAATCATTTATAAATTTTATATTGTTCTTACTTAAATCCAATAATTTTTGCGTAAGAATGAACTAATCATAAGGTAAATACCAAGGATTCATTTAAATTTTTACTATTGTGTTAAAAAGATCCACGCCTGGTCTTTTAAATAATTAAACAAGCACCTAAATTATATTATAGCCAAATTATATTATAACTTAAGTTTCATCATCGAAAATATTTTATATTTAAAAAAAATCATATTGTCAAATTAGGTATATATCATAATACCTAGATATGGGAATTAACTTTAATTGGATATTTTGACTTCTGACAAACAATCAGAAATAAACTGAAAATAATCTGAAAATAATCTGAAATTTTTTAGACTATTATTCTTTTTTCCTCAGGGTTCACATAACCGCAGGCTTCACAATTAGGATATTAGTGTCGTATTATTTGCTTAGCGTCGTATTATTTGCTAACAAAATATATCAATGACATGGTGTTATTAGTTAATTATTTGATGACTATACTTGGTTCGTGAAATAATGTTAATAATGTTCAAATAAAAAAGCACGGATCGTTAAGTCGTGTAACCGTTATTATCATAATTACATAATTTTATATTAAAAATATCAATACTTTACATATTTAATGTTAATTCGAGCTAAAAAAGTCCATTGTTATGTATCGTTACTTCGGGATTTATGACCCAAATAGGACACATATTATATTTTTTACCATTATTCATCGTTATTTGCTCGATTTTACTATATTTTGCTATCAAAAAAATTCTAAATATAGAAACGATACATATAAGGGGTCAAAAAACAATCAATGTGGCGCATAAATAGGAAAATTTCCTAATATATAATATTATATTAATATATAATATATTATATCATATATACGTAGTATTAATATATATTATATACTGATAATTTTATCCGCTCAAGTTTCTTTGAAATAAATGAATGAATGATTACTAGGATGTATTGAATAATAATAATGAATAATAATAATTTGGAATCCATTTGTTAGCTGTTAATCGACTTATGTCAATTAAGCTTCGTTATTGAAATTATTATTAATAATGCATTTTTGGAATCGATTTTCATTATAAAATCCACGAGGCGAAAATCGAAAAATTTATGTGCGAATGATTTTTTTTTTTCTTTACGGACTCACCATGCAAACATAAACAATACCTTTTTCAGTCCTTTTCATTTTTGTTTAATTAAATTTTATCCCCACAAAAAATTATATCCTTTCGATTAACGCAATCTCAAATTTGAGAATAGGAAATTACAATGGGATCCCTTAAAAAGGCTATCTGTTTATTTAATCTTGAAACTGTAATACAAGATGACATAATTTTTATCCATTTACAAATGATGCTCATTGTTACAACTTTTTGCACGTGCTTGCATCGGCCGCAACGATAATACCATGTGAAAAACATCATTGCGAATTATCATAACCATGTGTTCTATTATACTCTATCGTGCTCTATTGCCATGCTCATATCTTAATCTCGCTTATGATTTCTATATTACAGTATTACAGTATTATTGAGAAGTATATAAAAGTCCGTACACGTGATAATCCTCATCGTTCGGCGGGAAAGTCCTCCGGACCGGCCGGCTACGAACACTACCAAATCACGTGAAACCGCATATAGGGATGTATAAAATTATTATGAAAAAATGAATAAAATTAATTACTCCAATTAATTATTATATGTCCCACTTTAACGTTAAAAACATAGTTATTTGTATACGTAATTTTATGGTATATAGACATAAATTGGTATCCTGAACAAGCTTACCTAGTATAAAGTAGTTATAATAGAATTATAATAGTAAAACAAATTATTATTTTCATGCCTTAAAATTCATGAACTCCTAACTTCATTACGCATAAAATATGCCTTTACATACTAAGGAAATTTGTTAGGAACAATACTATATATTTAAAATTTCTATGAAAATGGTTAAACTTTTATTATCTAATACAATTGCTTTTTTAACATTAGTGAATTTTCAATTGTTTGAAAAAACTCTAAAAATACACATTAATAAAAATCTATTTACTTTCCTCAAAAATTATGTAAAAGATACGTACGTGTGTAATGTCGTTCAGATCAAGTTTTCCTGGTAATATATAACACTTGTGTTATCATGTGATTTTTACATGCCCGTAGATCGGCCGACAGGGACACGGAAATATTCTTTCGATTTAAACCAAAAATTTCGATCGATTTAAGCAAAAATTTCGATTTATTTCGAT